TGAAAATCCTTGTCTACTAAAAATACAAAAATTAGCTGAGTGTGGGGGTGTGTACCTGTAATCCCAGCTGCTTGGGAGGATGAGGCAGGAGAATCGTTTGAACCCAGAAGGCAGAGGTTGCAGCGAGCTGAGATCACACCCTTGCACTTAAGCCTGGGCAACAAGAGTGAAACTCTGTCTCCAAAAAAAAAGACAGATAGATGGAAGCCTATTCAGAGCAATGACAGTAAGCATGAAGAAGGGTTAGGTGAATTCATAGGACTAATTAGCAGACAGACATTGGGAAGAGAACTCAGATTCATAGACTCAGCAAGTGGTTGCACCTGTCATAACTGCCCTTGAAGCCTGTTAGTTCAGGCAGAAAGCCTGTTAGGTCAGGTCAGAGGACTACATTTCAAATCATAGATCTAAAAAGAACATTGCTAATGCACTCCGGCCATCCTGAACTGCTAACAGTACATCAAACTATACACGCACACTGTTCCCTTTGCTCAAATGCCCCCATTCTCTTGGACAAATGGCGAACTCTAACCTATTTTTTGAGTTTCAGCTCCGGTCCCAGCTCCCGGGGGCAGTCTTTTCGGCCTTTGCCAAATAGCTGCCTCCCTGTTCTTCCACCACACCTGGGGTTACCCCCTCTCATTCTGGTCTCACAAGATCTAGGATGTCTGTCCATCCATTCACTCACTGGTTCTGTATGGAGTTACTGACATGTGATTCCTGACTCAATAGAAAATGATGGCAGCTGTTTGTCTGACTCAAGCCTTTGTGAAATGATTGATGGTTCTCTAGGTCTTAATCCTTGCTGTTCTCTCTCACTGAAATATTCTACCACTATCTAGCTTTTATGGCTGGCTTTTTTTTTTTTTTTTTTTTTTTTTTTTTTTTTTTGAGATGGAGTCTCTCTGTCACCCAGTAGAGTATAGTGGCATGATCTCAGCTTACTGCAACCTCCACCTTCCAGGCTCCAGCAATTCTCCAACTTTAGCCTCCCAAGTACCTGGAATACAAGGTGCATGCCACCATGGCCACTTAATTTTTGTATTTTTTTGTTGAGACGGGGTTTTGCCATGCTGGCCAGGCTGGTCTCGAACTCCTGGTCTCAAGTGATCTGCCTGGCTTAGTGTCCCAAAGTGCTGGGATTACAGGCATGAGTCACCACACCCAGCTCACTGGTTTCTTCTTGTTGGTCAGATTATCTAGAGTGAATTCTCTTGCCCCATTTTCTCTCTAGCTCTCTGCCAAGATTTATTGTCACAATAGCATTGATCGTTGTTGAAATTACCTTTCGTATTTGCTTACTTGCCTCCTGCCTCAGCCTCCTGAGTAGCTGGGATTACAGGCACTTGCCTGCTGCTTCTCACTAGAATGTCAGCCTCACAGGAGCAGGGACTTGGCCTGTCCTAGTGCATGCATAGTCCTGGGGACTAGCAGCGTGCCTGGCACATAAGAGGAATTTTGATAAAGGAATGAATGAATTTTGTAGATAAGGATGCAGATACAGGGCTGGGCACAATGGCTCACATCTGTGATCCCAGAACTTTGGGAGGCTGACATGGGCAGATTACTTGAGGTCAGGAGGTTGGGAGCAGCATGGCCAACATCCCGCTGCTAAAAAAACCTGTCTGCTAAAAATACAGAAATTAGCTAGGAGTGGTGTCAGACACCTGTAATCTGCACTCAGGAGGCTGAGGCAGGGGCATCTCTCCAACTCAGGAGGCAGAGGTTGCAGTGAGCCCAGATTGTGCCCCTGTACTCCAGCCTGGGTGACAGAGCTAGACTTTGTCTCAAAGAAAACAAACAAAAGAACAAAAACCAAAAGGATACAGATAGATATAGAGAAGGTAAAGACTGATACTGAGCATGAAATTATTATAGACTCAATACTAAACAACCATGAGAATTGCACTTACAGAATGGAGAGTGGTAATTGAAAGACAATAGCACAACTAGGCTAGGTGCAGTGGCTCATACTTGTAATCCCAACACTTTGAGAGTCTAAAGCGGGTGAATCACTTGAGCCCAGGAGGTAGCTGGGCATGATGGAACACACCTATTCTGGAGGCTGAAGTAGGAGAATTGCCTGAGCCTGAGAGGTGGAGGCTACAGTCAGTTAATATTGCGCTACTGCTCTCTGGCCTGAATGAGAGTGAGGTCCGGTCTCAAAAACAAAAACAAAAACAACAGAAAACAACTAACAAATATAGCTTAGGTAAAGGGAGATATGAGAGAATGTGCCAATGCAATAGCTAAAAGTTGCTAGTGGTTTACAATGGAGAGGCCTATAAATGAAACAATCATCCCACTCTTTTCCTGCTTTTCATTGTTATGAACCTTTGTAGACTTATTTGAAAGAAGTGCTTCTCATGTGGTAAAGAAATATATATATATATTTTTTGAGACAGAGTTTTGCTCTTGTTGCCCAAGCTGGAGTGCAATGGCGCGATCTCCGCTCACTGCAACCTCCACCTCCTGGGTTCAAGCAATTCTCCTGCCTCAGCCTCCTGAGTAACTGGGATTACAGGCACGTGCCACTATGCCCAGCTAATTTTTGTATTTTTAGTAGAGATGGGGTTTCACCATGTTGACTAGGATGGTCTCGATCTCTTGACCTCGTGATCCACCCGCCTCGGCCTCCCAAAGTGCTGGGATTACAGGCTTGAGCCACCGCGCCCCGCAAGAAATATTTTAAACCTAACAATTCCTTTAGCTTTATGTTAGCTTCCTTTTCTTCTGTTAAAAGAAAGTTAGGTTTCTTAATCGCAACTATGAGATATTAACATTTTAAAATGTTTTTCCTATTTGTTAATCCTGCACCATTTGCATATCTATACCAAGATCTATGCATATATCTATCCATCTATGCCCAAAAGGCCTCATCTAATATTCAGGAAAATTATTTTTGGCTGGTAAAATTTGTTTTTCTTTTTTTTTTTTTTTTTTTTTTGCTGAATTTTATTCATTTTTTTTATTTTCACTATCTACCTGGAGATATTTTGCTGAGTTTTAATGTTTTACAATGTGTGTGTTTGTGTATACATATATGTGTATGTATATATAAAACATCACTTTTGCAAGAAGAAAAGTGACTTTAAAAAATCAAAAGCAGGCCAGGGCACGGTGACTCACGCCTGTAATCCCAACACTTTGGTAGGCCGAGGTGGGTGGATCATGAGGTCAGGAGATCGAGACCATCCTGGCCAATGTGGTGAAACCCCATCTTTACTAAAATACAAAAAATTAGCCAGGCTTGGTAGCGCAGGCCTACAGTCCCAGCTACTTGAGAGCCTGAAGCAGGGGAATTGAATCGGGGAGGCAGAGGTTGCAATGAGCCAAGATGTCACTGCACTCCAGCCTGGTGATGGAACAAGACTCATTAAAAAAAAAAAAAAGAAAAGCAGATATACCAAAATGTTCATTTTGGATGGTAGAAATATTAAAAATTATTTGTTTCTTTGCATTTTTACTGAAAAATATTTTAATTCTAAAAAAGTTTTAAAAAAGAAAATGTGAATCTAAGATTAGTGCATTAGAGTTAAGAGACCCAGAGAGGGCAAACAGCATCATGGTCAAAGTTAAGTGTATCCTGGGTGAGAAGTGTCTTTTCAGTAAGGGGAGATTTTCCATGCAGAAGGGACTGGGCATCATCTGCCAGGGACCTGGACAGAGATGTGTACCATTAGAAGCTGGGCCTCTCATACCCCATCGGCATCCCTCAGGAAGACACTGGCTTTCTCAAGGTCACAGCCTTTAGTTTCTGGAAAAACATGCTTAAGCACTGAAAGGATTAAGTTCTCACAGCTCTTATAGCATGATGTGTAGATGGTTTCCAATCATTTTCTCTATATTTATTTTTTTGAGATGGAGTCTCACTGTCACCCAGGCTGGAGTGCAGTGGTGCGATTTTGGCTCACTGTAACCTGCACCTCCTGGGTTTAAGCTCTTCTGCCTCAGCCTCCCGAGCAGCTGGGATTACTTACAGACGCCTGCCACCGTGCCTGCCTAATTTTTTTTGTAATTTTTAGTAGAGACAGGGTTTCACCATCTTGTCCAGGCTGATCTTGAACTCCTGATCTCATGATCCTCTGGCCTTAGCCTCCCAAAGTGCTGGAATTATAGGCGTGAGCCACTGTGCCCAGCCTCTTTATAGTTTACGAGATGAATGACAACTAGATGACAACTGCAGCTCAGAGACCTGCCCAGCCCCTCTCAGAGTCAGGCACAAATCAAACCCCTGTCCAGCCTGCCACGGAGAGCCAGCACAAAACAGGTGCCCATGAGTGTAAATCAATCTGTGAAACAGGCAGAACAGGAGCATCAACTGAGTAATTTTTCTTTTCTTTTTCCGATAAGAACATTTGCGTTGAGAGGAAGCCACAGGAATAGATGTGATGAAACACTACATGCAGGGAGGGAGGAGCTTCCAGGTGGGCTGGAGTGAGTGGCATGTAGGGTGGCCCGTAGGGGAGAGAGGGGCAACCTGTTCTATAATATTGAAATCACCCGTGTGTGTCCAATTTTTCACTGGGCTGTGATGTCCTTCCAGGGTCTGTGTGTAGCCCCCTCCCCATAGCCTAGCAGGGTGCCTAACTCCCCTGAGTGCTCAATAAACTTTGAACTGGCCAGGCGCTGGGCACAGTGGCTCACGCCTATAATCCCAGCACTTTGGGAGGCCGAAGCGGGTGGATCACCTGAGGTCAGGAGTTGGAGACAGTCCTGGCCAACATGGAGAAACCCTGTCTCTACTAAAAATACAAAAATTAGCCCGGCGTGGTGGCACGCGCCTTTAATCCCGGCTGCTCGGGAGGCTGAGGCAAGAGAATCGCTTGAATCTGGGAGGCGGAGGTTGCAGTGAGCCGAGATCGTGCCACTGCACAGCCTGGGTGACAGAAACTTCGTCTCAAAATAAATAGACTAAAATAAGCATTGAACTGAACAGAGGCAGCTCTTACATCTGTCCAGTCTCGAGCTTATGCAGAAGCCAGTGTCCTACTGCTCCTTTGGAGGAACTATTGGTCATTTAAAGGACTAATTGAAGACATTCTGTAGGTCAAGTCTGCCCGGAGCTGAGGGAGTTGCGCAGACAGGTGGTCCTCCGCGCCGGTTTGCAATTCGGCCCCTGGAAGCAGCGGGAGACGTCGAAGGAGGCGAGAAGGTGCGTGCGCGCCTCAGCAGGCCCGCGGATGCTGGGTGGTATCAAGGAGGCGCTCAGATCGCTGGAGCTGGAGCCCAGCCGGGGGTCTTTTGCGGGACCCGCACCCACCCCGGAGCATCTTTGGCCCTGTTTCACTGAACTCGCCTTCCTCATCAGGAAAGTGGGAAGACCGCTCACCTCCAGGACGGTGTGGGATGGGGAAGAGGGAGCAGGGAGAGGCTGCGGAATGCGCGGCGCATACGCTAGCTGGCATCACCGGGGATTCCCGCGGGCTCGGTGGGACTCCGGGGCGCTGGCAGCGAGGACCCCCAGCCCAGTCTGGGCCCTCGGCGGCCTCAGTGGCCCAGGCCCGCCTGGCCTCCGCCCGCGGCCCTCCCCTGGGCTGCCGGGAAGCGGGCAGAGGGGCGCACTGGGCAGCGGGCAGGGACCCGGGGACGGCCGGGAGCGCGGGGACCCAGGACGCACGGGGCGGGCCGGGTGGCGCGCGCCTCGCGCCTTCCCCCTCCCCCGCGGCCCGAGCGCGAGCCGCCGTGACGTCACGGGCCACCCGCCAGCCCCGCGCTCCTCCGGGCAGAGCGCGTGTGGCCGCCGAGCACATGGGCCCGCGGGCCGGGCGGGCTCGGGGCGGCCAGGACGAGGAGGGGCGGCGAGGAGCTGCGGGCGAGGATGTGCCCCGGGACCCCTGGCACCTTCCAGTGGATTTCCTTGCGCAAGGGATGTGGTCGGCCCCGGTGACCTGTGGAGACCCGTCCAGATCTGCCCTCCGGTAAGTTCCAATTTTGTCCCCTGCGTTTCTGGAAACTCTCTAGCCTTGGCCTTGGGCAGGGATGCGCTGTGAGGAGTCGGATGGAGGAAAGGGGCTTTCGGAATCCAGTGCGTGTGTGCTAAGCGTGCACCATCCTCATCACCAGCCTCAAGACTGGAGGCGAGTTTAGGCGTTTGGGGAGGGGGAGGGGAGGGGGATGACACCGAATGGTCGGTGCTTAGAGGCAATTCTGGATTTATGAACTTGATCAAAGGCCTATTAACTAATCGCTAAAAATAGACTCCTCTGCAGTCAGAACGGGTTTGGGGCCACGATGTGGTTTGGAGGCCCCTCTGGCGAAACTAGAGGTCTGTTAATGTGTGATCGTGCCTCCATCCTTTGACCATCACTCTCTCCTTCCTCCCACACCCCCTCGGGGCTGGGCGAAGGTGATTTCCAAAAACTCTGTAACTGTGTTTTGAGACTTTCTCTGCTTTTGCATCGCCTGTGTGGGTTTGTTGGGTGCTCCTAAACCCTCATCATGGTAATTCTTCTTGGCTGGGCTGTTGATTTAATTAGGTTTGCCTTCTGTGGCTAATGTGCTCTTATTTATGCCAGTATTTGTGGTTCTCAGTGTAGACTTTCAGGAAGCACAGCCATGAAGCTGCATGTGTCTGTGTGTGGATACCTCATGCATTTTCCCGATGGTTTGCAGGCATGGAAGATTCTTCTGTTCACCCAAGCTCCTGATTTTAGGCCCTTCTAGAACATTAGAGAGGAGAAGAAATCATGTGCAAGGGTTTAGGGACAAGAGGGTGAGATTCTGGTGTTTCTTTTCTGGTCTTAGGTTTTCCAGAGAGAGGCTGTTAGCCCAGCTCTCTCCCACTCCACCACTGTGTGAATCCTGGCTACTGGGGTTATTTCCTTGCCTCAGGAAAAAACCCTAGAGAGATGTGTTTGTGTGTGGTGGGTGGGCGGGGGCCCTGAAGATGCAGGGACTGTGTCTGCTGTGTTGTCTGTTATAAGATGTTGCAGACCTATTTTGCATACTGGCAGCGACAAGTTGAGACTTGTTCAACTTGACACAGTCCTGTGGTCACGACCAATCTTTCTAAAGCTCTCATCAGTCAAGAAGAGCGTTGTATCAACCCTGAGAACCCTGAGCGGAACTTTCTAAAGGATTTATTAGGAGAAAGGCCTTCATGGAAGCTGCAGGACAAATACAGAATCCATGTGTGGAAGAAACCTCATGGCCTGGTCTCTATTATTTGAGACGAGCTACATCTTGGAGGTGAGGACATGCCTTGTGGTCTAAAGCTTCGGCACAAGGGCCCAACTGGAATTCCATTTATAGGTACAACGATGGAAAGGCAGGGTGGTTCCACCGTGGGGTATATGCTGTGCCCACTGAATGCACACAGGGGATTTGTTAAGTGGTTATGCGGTTGTTTTGCCTGGTTAAGAGTGGTTTATTCTTGTTGCCTTATCTACCCTTGAGTGCAGAATTTTTGTATAAACTGGCTTCTCTTGAAAAACAGAAGAAATCCATTTTTTTTTTCCGGATTAACTTTCTTTTTCCTCTCTCTTAACACCACCCTGCCCACACCTCCATGTTGTGTGTTTCTGCGGCTGGAGCTTTTCTGGACTAGAAGTAGGGAGTTCTTCCCTCTGTTCCAACATGTCTGACCCCCACTGGTTTATATGATTGCTGGTCTAAAAACCTGGTGAATTCTCACTGCCCACATCAAATCAGCTCCCTGTTCTTGAGGGTTTTTTCTGCCGCCTGAGCGGTAGGCGGGCACTCTGGCTGGGCTTCAGAGCCTGTGTTTGCCATGCCTGGGCCTTCTGCCTGCCCAAGATGGACACGTTTCTCCGGCAGCTCAGTCAAGTGATCTCCTGGACCGTAAGACACCCTGTTCTTTCCTTCTGTTTGTGTGAGTGTCCCTGCATTTTGGCAGACCATCGGCAGATTATCTGGGGGAAGAGGAAAACCTTGGATAGATCTCCTGACCTCGTGATCCACCCGCCTCAGCCTCCCATAGTTGCTAGTCTACGTTCTCTGGAGAGGCAGTGGCAGGCCTGCTGATGGCTGTCTTTTGCTATGTGTTTTATATATCAGGTGGCCCTCTGGACGTGTGGGTTTTTTATTTTGCATTTCCTTCCTTCCTTTCTTCCTTTTTTTCCTTTCCCCGTATCCCTTACCCCTTTCCCCTTTCCCCTTTCTTCTTTCCTTTCTCAGAGTTCTTTCTTTCCTTTCTCAGAGTCTCGCTCTGTCGCCCACGCTGGACTGCAGTGGCTCAATCTTGGCTCACAGCAACCTCTGCCTCCTGGGTTCAAGCGATTCTCCTGCCTCAGCCTCCCGAGTAGCTGGCCATGCCACTACGCATGGTTAATGTTTTGTATTTTTAGTAGAGACGGGGTTTCACTGTGTTAGCCAGGATGGTCTCGATCCCCTGACCTCGTGATCTGCCCGCCTTGGCCTCCCAAGGTGCTGGGATTACAGGCGTGGGCCACAGCACCTGGCCACATTTCCTTTCATTCATGGCTGCAGACGTGACATCTCCTTGTTCTCTCGTTTTGTTTTTTGTTGTTTCCTGACACTGATCCTCTTTAAGGGATCAGGACTGCACCACACTCCCCAACTCATATTCCCAGTGTCCGTGGTGGGACGCTGACCCAGGATGGGAACAGAGCAACAATCTGGAATCATTTGGACCATTGAGTCCTGTGGACAGTCGCTTCAAATATCATCGCTAGAGAGTCTCAGAAATTCAAGGCCTTGGGCTGGGCGCGATGGCTCATGCCTGTAATCCCAGCACTTTGTGAGGTCAAGGCAGGTGGATCACGAGGTCAGGCGTTCAAGACCAGCCTGACCAACATGGTGAAACCCTGTTTCTACTAAAAATACAAAAATTAGCAGGGCATGGTGGCACACGCTTGTTATCCTAGCTACTTGGGAGGCTGAGGCAGGAGAATTGCCTGAACTAGGGAGGCGGAGGTTGCATTGAGCTGAGATCACACCACTGCACTCCAGCCTGGGGGACAGAGTGAGACCCCATCTCAAAAAGAAAAAAAACGACTGGGCGTGGTGGCTTATGCCTGTAATCCCAGCACTTTGGGAGGCCAAGGTGGGTGGATCACCTGAGGTCTGGAGTCTGAGACCAGCCTTACCAACATGGAGAAATCCCATTTCCTCTAAAAATACAAAAAATTAGCTGGGTGTGCTGAGGGATGCTTGTAATCCCAGTTACTCAGGATTCCAAGGCAGGAGAATCACTTGAACTCCAGAGGCAGAGGTTGCAGTGAGCCAAGATCTCGCCATTGTACTCCAGCCTGGGCAACAAGAGTGAGACTCTGTCTCAAAAAGAAAAAAAAAGAAATTCAAGGCCATTTGGAATGCTGTCAAAATGGGTCCTTTGGCAGGACCCCCTTTTTCTCTTCTGTTTTCTGGCCTCAAGTAATCTAAGAAACTAATAACAGTAACAATAAAAATTGATAATAACAACAATAATAGTGCAGGTATAACATGGGCATTGTTTATCACGCAAAGCATGTTCTTCACCTTCTACTCACTACAGCTCCATGAGGCACTTAGAATAAAATGTCTAGCAATGGGAGAGTTCTTGTTTCAGGGCGGGCTTGGTTCTAACACTTCAAATTATATGATCACATTTAACTTTCCTGTGAAATAGGATTATTATTATTGTGATTTTGCAGATGAGGAACCCATAGCCCAGAGAGGTTAAAAATATCCTCCCAGGTCACTTAGCTCGGGAGCGGCAGAGCTGTAGGGATTTGGACCACGGTTTTCTGATTTTCTAGTGTGACTTTCAGAAGTTAGAGGATAGTGAGATTAAGAACAAGCAAAGGGGCCGGGCAGGGTGGCTTATGCCTGTAATCCCAACACTTTGGGAAGCTGAGGCGGATGGATCACCTAGGTCAGGAGTTCGAGACCAGCCTGGCTAACATGGTGAAACCCTGTCTCTACTAAAAATACAATCAATTAGCCAGGCATGGTGGTGGGCACCGGTAATCCCAGCTACTTGGGAGGCTGAGGCAGGAGAATCGCTTGAACCTTGAAGGTGGAGGTTGGGGTGAGCCAAGATCACACTGTTGCACTCCAGCCTGGGCAACAAGAGTGAAACTCAGTCTCAGAAAAAAAAAAAAAAAAAAGGGAACAAGCAAAGGGTACCCGTTGGCCTTGAGCAGGAGAACAGAGTGTATCCCCCACCCTCCCTACATACCTCAGGCACAAACTTCAGAAACCTGAAAATCCTGCATGAAGATACCTCGTGCTCTAGCTGTCAGCCTTTTCTGTGGCCACGGAGGAGGCAGAGACAAAGGGACAAAGAGGCCTTAGGTGAGGGCTGCCATGCTGGAAAGTTCTGGGCTGTGAATGTGGGCAGGAGTCTCTTGGCTGGGTGCGATGGCTCACACCTGTAATCCCAACATTTTGGGAGGCCAAAGCAGGCAGATCACCTGAGGTCAGGAGTTCAAGGCCGGCCTGGCCAACCTGGTGAATCTCTGTCTCTACTAAAAATAAAAAAATAATAGAAAATTAAAAAAAGAGAGAGAAAATCATCCTGGCATAGTGGCACATGCCTGTAGTCCCAGCTATGCGGGAGGCTGAGGCAGGAGGATCTCTTGAACCCACGAGGCAGAGGTTGCAGTGAGCTGACATTGCCATTGCACTTCAGATTGGGAGATAGTAAGACTCTGTCTCCAAAAAAAAAGCCAAACCAAATAAACAAACAAACAAAAAAGCCTCAGTCTTAGTCTTGGTACAAAATCTATAATCATTAGCAAGAGGCTGCAGTCAGGCATACACTTGACTTTGTGACCAAAACTAGGTTTCAGGATTTGATTACTAACAACCTTCACTGTGAGTGGGAGATTTGAGCTCTCTTTTTTTTTTTTTTGAGCGGAATCTTGCTCAGTTGCCTAGGCTGGAGTGCAGTGGCGCTATCTTGGCTCACTGCAGCCTTTGCCTCCAAGGTTCAAGCAGTGTTCTGTATCAGCCT